ACAGACAGGCAGCCGGGGACACGGGGGACATCCTTGATACAAGAATGCCAAGAAAGCCCACTTTACCTTGCTCTGGGGCAGCTTATATAGGGCTCTGGCCACGCCCCTGCTCTCGGAATCTTTCAGCTGCAGACTCATCAGAACCCACGCTCCTGCCATCAGGGTCTCGTGCTCAGAGCAGCTGCAGGCTCCTCAGAGCAGAGGAAAAACAGTTGTTTACAGGAAATTCAGGGTCTGGCGGTCCACAGTCCCCAACAGCAGTTCTGACGAAAAAGTACCCAATGTGGGGTGTCATATGTAGTGGAACTTTCCTTTGGACCGCCTAGCTCACATAATTACATATAAACACTTTTTTGTTTGTTTGTTTTTGTTTTTTGAGAGGGTTTCTCTGTAGCTTTGGAACCTACCCTGGAACTAGCTCTCGTAGACCAGGCTGGCCTCGAACTCACAAAGATCCACCTGTTTCTGCCTCCCAAGTGCTAGGATTAAAGGCATGCGCCACCACCACCTAGCTCATGCTGTATATTTTTAAAAGGTTCTAAAACTCTGGGGTAGTGGTTTAAGTAGCACAAAATAATAAAAACCCAGAGGCAGATATTGGGCTTCAACCTGAAGATCAGAAAAGCAAAGCAGTCAAGCCATTAGAGAGTTCTTACCGCTATGAAGTCTTCATGCCGAAAGAGAGTGAGTTCCTGTCTCATCTCGCTTTATAGTCCTCTCTAGTGCTGGGATTAAAAGTGTGCACCACCACCACCCAGCCTCTGTGGCTAACTAGTGTGGCTGCTGGGATCAAAGGTGTGTGCCACCACTGTCTGGCCTGTATGGCTGACTAGTGTGGCGGCTTTACATTCTGATCTTCAGGCAATTTATTAAAATACAATGAAATATCAAAATGAGTATGTATGTATATATATATATATATATATATATATATATACACACACACACACACACACACAGCATGATTTTGTTTTTAAAGATGCAGATGACAAGAATAGGAGAGACCTTACAAAGAAGGAAGCCTGGAGTCATTCTTTACTTCTATATAACAAGGCAAAAGTGTCAGTTTTGTGTGCACATACTTTGTAGCATGAGGGCCGGCTTGTTGGGGTTTCTATCCCGCCCGGTACCCCACAACCGGCAAATCCCAAAGAAAATCACACACAGGACTCCATAAGATTATAAACTGATTGGTCCATTAGGTCAGGCTTCTTGTTAACTCTTATAGCTTATATTAACCCATTATTCTGATCTATGTTAGCCACGTGGCTTGGTACCTTTTTCAGCTGTCAGCTTACATGTTTCCTCTTCGGTGGTCTGCGCAGGAGTGGCAGAGGGAGCTTCCTAGAATACTCCCAGTCTCTTTTCTTCACCTCTACTTCCTGTCTGGCTTTCCTGCCTATACTGCCTGCCTGGCCAATCAGCGTTTTATTAAAATATGATTGACAGAATACAGATAATTCTCCCGCACCAATACTTGAATACAATTGTGTTTTCTAAGGTAAGTTTTTATTTTCCCCTGATACCTAATTTTTCCACATAAGTTTTATTGAAGACATCTAGCCATTCCTACTCTATTGAAATAGTAATTATTAATTCAATGGATTTGTCAAGATTTCCTTAGTGATTTGTTTGGGTTTTTTCTTTCTTTTCAATATTTTAAATTTTTTTGGATTTAAAAGTGCTTACCTGCAATTAAGTGTGTGCATGCACGCAGTGACCAGGAAGATGAGAAAAGGGAATCTGATCCCTGAACTGAAGTTCCAGCTGCTATGAACGACCATGTGAAGGCTTCCTACAGTCCCTAACTGGGGAACCACCTACTGAGCTCTGTTTAGCTCACCTCCCTTCCTTCCACACTAGAGACTGAGGGTTCTGCTCTTTCTGGGTAGAGCTTGTGGGTACACAAGGGGAACTCTGCCAGGGCTGCTATCACCTCACCTTTTATTTCCCCCAGCATTTGGCAGCGTCAAGGAGCAGCAGGGGGCAGCCATAAGCAGTAGTGCCATCCTCCTGTGTTACAGTCTTGAGGCAGCAGCACCCTTAACCCTACTACCAGTCCAGTCCCCTCGAGGAGCATGGGTTAGAGCTCTCAGCTTGGGGTCTGGAGCTCCTGGCCCTGCAAACCTGAATGCTTTCTATTTTTCCTGTGTCCAGGGGCTTCTCTGGCTCCTTAAAACTTTTTATGTTTTGTTTTTTGTTGTCGTCGTTTGTTTGTATAATAGCCCTGACCATCCTGGAACTCACTCTGTAGACCAGTATGGCCTCGAAATCAGAGATCCTCCTGCCTCTGCCTCCCAAGTGCTGGGATTAAAGGTGTGCGCCAATACGCCTGACTAGAATGTGATTCTTTTAATGCAATTGCATGTTTGTTTCTTTGCATAGTTGGATTTTTAAATGAGTCCATCTAAGAAATTAAATGGATATAATTGCAAAGGTAAGCGCAGCCGGTTTCCCTTCATTTTATTTAAGACTCTCCCATGTGGCTATGTGAAGGGCTGAGCATTTCCTCTAGTTGCATCGTGTGATGGCCATTTGGATTGCTCATGCGATTTTTGCTATTAGAAGCAATTGGGTTACAAATTGTGCCCGTGTTTTTTCACATGTGACGATTTCCCTGGGAATACAGACAGCGGTGTGGATCTGCAGGGTCCTCATCCCTGCACACCTTTAACGTCCACAAAAGATTGGCAGCAGCCTCTTCACCGTGCCAGAAACAGGAGACCTTTTAGGGGATGTATCCTTCCCTCTATGTAGTGAACGCCTAGAGTTTGTGCGCGTGAGGGGGAAGCTCTTCAGTCTTGTTCATTACGCAGGAATCTTCTACGTGGACAGGGGCACGTTAAAAGGCTAGGGTGTAAGAATTTAGAATGTCGGTCAGGAAAGTGGTGAGGGTGAATAACTGGGGAAGCAAAGACCACTCTTCTGGATGTTTCTCTCCACTGGAAAACACTGCGCAAAGGGTAAAAAACAATCAGGACGCACTCTGCGGTGCTACGAATAGGCACACACTTTCCCACGGGGTGGGAAGGGGCGGGGCTTAGGGAGATAGGAGGCGGGGTCTGTTGCGGCGCAGCCCCGCCTTCTCGAGCGGGACAGCGGCGGTGACGACATGGAGCGGCCGCTGACGGGCAGGTCGAGCTCGCGCAGGCGCCGGGCGAAGGAGCGCAGCTCGGCAGCGGGGACCGAGGAGCACAGCTCCCCGAGGGAGGCGGCAAGCGGCATGGGTGCGGGGCCAGCGATGGTGGCTCACTTCCTGACCGACATTCTAAATTCTTACACCCTAGCCTTTTAACGTGC